CTCTCTCTCTCTCTCTCTCTCTCTCTCTCTCTCTCTCTCTCTCTCTCTCTCTCTCTTTTTAATTATAACTCTCCGAGTCCACTTTTGCTATTGATAGTATATACACAAGTCCAGAATCACCTATTAGAACATGGGTACCTTCTTAAAGGCCGCATCACTATAGAAAATGACTCTCTATCCCAGCAGACATCATTTGCTAACAGTTCCTCAGCTGGGGGTGGGCCTTGGTGACCCCCCTCCATGTTGAGATTTTTGTCTGGCTTTATCTTATGTAGGTCTTGTGTATACAGTCATAGCTACTGTGAGTTCATGTGTGTAACTTCCCTGTTGTGTCCAAAATACACTGTTTTGTTATAGTCTATTTTCTCTGGCTTTTACAATCTTTCTGTCCCTTCTTCACTGATGATCTCTGAGCCTTGGGTGGAGAAGTAGTGATTTACATGTCCCATAGGGACTTTGCAGTCTTTTTCTCTTTGAACATTGACAGTTTGGGGTCTCTGATGAGCATTGAGAGATGCACCACTCTCTGGGCATAACAGTGAGTCATTAGGAGCTAGTTTAACATTATGTCCAGTTAGGAGAATGTCCAGATAGTTGTGGGTCCTCCCCTAGGGCTTATGATCTGTCTAACCATGGGTTCCTGGCTAATAATGGTGTCCGGTGTGGGTTTCATCTTTTGGATAAGGCCTTAAGTCAATTAAAAGGTAATTCTTGTGACATCTGTGCACAGTTGTACTGTTGGATATATCATGCTATACCAGTCATTATAGAAGTTTCCAGCATTCACAGCTAGGCAAACTGATGATTATTTTCTACCCTGGTAACATGCTTAGAATCTTCCATCTATGTGGAAGCTAACCAGTGCAGATGAGCCTTCTGATCAGGACAAGTTTGATGTAGAACTTTAAGCTATCTGATAGAATATTTCAGACAAGGACATGAGCTACTAACCATAATCACTAGAAAAATAGTAATAAATGATATTGTAATGTGACAACATAGTTACATAACTAAACATAAGGTTACATGATTATTGTATAATTTATTTAATCTCAACCTGAGGTTTCCATCCTGCCTTTGACCTCTTAATTCGCAGATAAAAGACACACAACTTTTATTATTTACAATAATAAGGCTTAATCACCACTAAAGCTGGGCAGATATCTACCCTCTATGCTATTAAAATCTATTTCCTATCAATAACCCTGAGATATTATTTACTTTGTTTCATCTGGACTGCTCTTAACTCCAATTGGCCAGCCCTCAGGAACATGCTTTCTTAATTACTAACCCATGTCTTGGTTTTGCCTCCCTGCCCCATACCCCAAGAAATAATACTCAGACTCAAATTATACTTCCAAATACCTTAGCCATATAGCTAGGCTCTACTCTAACTAGATCATAACTAAAGATACCCATTTATTTTAACCTACCTTCTGTCATGTGGCTGGTTAACTGTGATCAGGTGCCATGTGTTCATGCGGCCATCTTCTTCCCTCTTTTCGGGCTCCTCCCCTCTGCTTCCTTCTCTCCCAGTATTCTTTATCTTCCCAGTGTTCTACCTCTATTTCCTGCGTAAGCCATAGGCCATAGGCTTTTTAATTAACATGTGAGGCATCTATACAATGTACAAGATGGTCTCTATACACACTGATATTACTTATCTGATGTCATGTGAATATTTAATGTCTTTGGAGCTAGTGAGATGGATCATTAGGTGAGGACTTTTGTCAAAGCCTCATAACTTGATTTCATTCCTGGGATGTATGCTGATTTTTTAAAATTTACCATGAATTTCAATAAGCTAATCCTCCTGTTAAAAATCAGTGACAAAAAGATAATCAATCCATTTCATATTGGTGTTTCTCCAGTCAGAGAAGATAATAGTCCTCTCTTTAGGCATTGGGCGTGGTACTCTCTGATGGACACAGGGAAGCTAAACACAGAAGAAAACACCCAGAGTCATTTCACTAATGTCAAGGCTAGAAAAGAAATCCAACAAGTTTTATCTCTCTGTCATGCAATCATGCCATTTATTCTAAAATATGATTCTGAATCATGTGGCATTGAGATAGTGACTACTGTACATAAGTTTGGTCCTATTTTGCAAACAGCTATACTTATCACGCTGTCAAAACTTTCCTGTGCTAGCTTTTCATACTTTATTTTATTACTGGTGTACGCATGTATGCTTAAAGGGAACACACATGCCCTATGGCACACGTGGAGGTCAGAAAATTGCAGAGTTGATTCTTTCCTTTTACCTTTACAAGGGTTCTGAGGATCAAACTCAGGTCTCCCACCTTGTTGTCAAATGCTTTCCCCACTGAAAAATTTCTTTAGCCTGCCCACACATTTTTAATTATAGAAGCTACAGTAGAATTTAGTTTTCTTAACAAATACTCCATGTTCAAAACCAGCAGTCCCTTAACAATTCTGTAATAATTGCTTCTATGCCGCTCTGTGAAGATCCTTGGATCCCTGAGTTCAAGAGTCAGCCTTCTTGAAAATTCCAAATGTCATGTTCAGTGCTTTACAAATGGTCACTGAACAAGTTAACCTTCTAGAAACTTCCTTCACCTCCCCTCCAATTCCAAGATTCTTAAAGGTTTCATTCAGACCTGCACCTTCTGCAAGGCCCTCCCTTGCGTGGACGCACCACCACTGCCACCAGTATAAGATGAAACTACGACATTGCTTCAAAATTCTCTTGCATGTTTTTCAGAAACTTTTGCCTTAAAAGTATTTTTATTGTCGTCCTAGCTTTTTATTTGCCTAGAACTCAGCCTTCTGTTTTTATTTGTTTTGTTTTGTTTTGTTTTGTTTTGTTTTTTTGTAACGAGGTCTCCCAATGAAGTCCAGGCTGGCATTGAACTTATCCACTTAACTAAGTCTTCCCAGTGTGAGGTGCACCCCTACTGCATCAGTATCAGCTAGTGTGTGTGTGTGTGTGTGTGTGTGTGTGTGTGTGTGTGTGTGTGTGTATAAGTGTGTGTGTGTATGAGCCTGCATAGGTCATAGGTCTATAGACCTAAGGATGATATTGTATGTCTTACTTGCTTTCTACCTTATTCACTGAGGTAGGATCTCTCATTTGAACCTAAAGATAATCAGTATAACTGCTTTGACGAGCTAGCTTGCTCTGGGGATCTTGTGTCTTCCCCATCACCCTGACTACCTAGCATCTACGGATGTAGGGATTTGAATTCCTGTCCTCTTGCTTTTACAGCAGGTGCTTTACTCATTGAGAAATCTTTCCATCCCCTACATAGATCTCATTTTACACTCTATACTTCTAAGCACATCTCATTCCTTAAAATGAACATATATGTTCACTTACTGAACATAGGCTGAATTCATCTTATTGGCCTGTTTGCTACGATTCGTGCATTAAGGAAACACTCATTTGTTGTATGATTCCTGGCATCACTCCAGAAACAACTACAGCACAAAGACAGACAGACAAACAGCTGTATTTGGAGCTTTATTGTCCACTAGGAAAAGATAATCAAACAAACTAATGACTCTGTAAGGAATCCAGGAGCACCATGTACTGATCAGTGTACACAAGAGAGGATGAATAGGATCTAAATTAAGAATGGATTATAACTTCAGACAATCACTACTCTAGGGAGTGCTTGGCTCATCTGAGGCAAGAGACTATTACTAAAAGATCTAAAGAAAGTGTTGGACTAGGACAAGCCTGATACACACTGACAGAATAATATTCACATGGTTTTGGCATCATAGTCAGAACTTTTGTTAAGAACTTCTGAAGTTTGAGATGAAGATAACAGAGGTTCAGCCAAGGCAAAATGTCCTAGAAGCTGTGTGGGTTGGAATGCTGTGTTGGGGAGAGATGGGAATGAAGCCAATGATGGAAATCATCACTGAGTCTTAGGAGTGTAGTTAAGTCATAAAGCATGCTGAACAGTCAAAGACAGAATCAGATCTGTATACCTGTTCTCAATTCTGAGCTTCTGTGTTCTTCTGCAGAAGATTAAACTGCTGATTGCATACACTGAGTCCATTCCTTAAGATCTTTGTACCTTAATGAAGGTGACTTAGTTATAAAATCTTAAGATAATTACATATACTTTATAATGTCTGTCTTAATAATGTGCCACTGGTCTTATAAATATCTTCATGTTCTCTTGTCACAGGTTTATTTATATTCATCTTCCACTGTGCAATGAAGGAGAACGTTCAGAAACAGTGGAGGCGTCATCTCTGCTGCGGCAGATTTCGGCTAGCAGACAACTCAGGTAAAGGCCTGGAGTTAACTGGTTTCGTTTGGAAAAGCAGTTGAAACCAATGACATTCCTCCTTACTCTGTCTCAGCAGCCTAACACCACAGAGAGTGCATTTCAAACGGAGCATGGGAGGATATTGAGTTGGCATCTTGGATTGTTAGGCCTAGAAAACATCTGAGCACATTGGACTCCATCCTTGACTGCTGTAGACTAGAAACATGAAATCTGGACAGGTTTTTTAAAATTGCTCAAGTTTTGACATTTAACTTAACTCCTAGGCAGGGGTCCTCCACACTAGATCCACCTTGCCATTTTTATGTTCTCAATTGCATTTTTTGTGAAGAGATTGTTCCTAGGATGTATAATATTTGGAGGAAACTGTCACTAACTTTTTAAACACCTGCTAATGCTTCCCATCTATAGGGCATTGAAGTGAGATACTATATAGCATATATGCACAGGGTCAGAGCAAGACACTCCTCTCTCCTCAACTTCTTACTGTTCCCATGTTCTTTAAGTCACTGCGAGTACTGGATAGATTAAATGACATGGTGATGGATTTGGGGACAGCTTGTATTTTCTATAAGCTAGCTGATATCGTCCTATTCTTTCTTCTTTCCAGATTGGAGTAAGACAGCTACCAATATCATCAAGAAAAGCTCCGATAACCTAGGGAAATCTTTATCTTCAAGCTCCATTGGCTCCAATTCAACATATCTCACATCCAAATCAAAATCCAGCTCCACTACCTATTTCAAAAGAAATAGCCACTCGGGTGAGTCATTCTTAGCCTACGAAGCTTCCCTCGGGTTGGTTTTTGTTTAGCCATCTTCGTCATAAAACTGACTTATAGTGACTGGTGGATCCCAGAGCTTGCTAAAGGGCTGGCTTAAGATTTACCTAAACTATGCTGTCCAGCTAAAGGCTTTCCCCATCGACTTTGTAAATTTTAAATTGGAAGTAATTTTCAACCCAACTACATCTTCAGGGTTATAATATCAGTAACTCTCATTATTATTATAACCTCAAAGTTTGACTTGAAATATTTTTCTCTTTTAAATTGTGGATATTTTAAAGTTATTTTTATTTAAAAATATAGAAACCAAGTTGTAAAACATTTCAACCTAGTATGAAACGTGCCAGTATTAAAGGAGAAATCTGGTATGGGGGGAGGAAGAAGCATGGTGTGAAATGAATATTTCATTTAAGATTTAATTCTTTAACCACTGGAACTGATGAGGAACAGTAAGTGGCCGCTATCCCTTAGCTTACTAATAAAACAAGAAAGAATAGAGAGCATTTGTAAAGTAACAAGGACTGTCAGAAACACTGCTGTTGTTCATGTCCTGTTTAGTCAACAGAGCTCTTGTGGCCGTGCATTCTGACACTAAACATATACACAAGTAGTCCTGAAGACAACTGGGAAATAAAAAGTGTGGTTGCAGTACTGGATCATGACATATAAGAAGGGTTTCAGCAGCTAACTTCAAAGGGAAATGATCAGATTTCTAGGGTTAGATACTAATTAAACCCCTTGACAGACAGGTGTAGTATCTTAGCACATGCTAAGATATATCTAGGAGCATAATGGAAAGAAGTTTAAATTGTTTACTCTAGTAACTTGTTACGTGTGTGACCAGAGGTGAGTGACATAGGAAAGACTAGTGTTTGATATTTTTCTAAAAGGGCGTGACATGTGAAGTGTCTATACTGGCAACTCAGGTTGCAAATAGTTTATTTGCAAGTCTAAATCCCCACCAGTTGTTGGTGAGACAGCTCTCTACTAGGATGGTTTGGGGTGTGCAGAAAGCCACTCCATAAACTCATAAATATATAGTTGGATTATTTCTTGGAATTGATCGAGACATTCATATGTTTATGGTGTAGATAATTTCTCCTAAGAGAATTCCTTCAACAAAAGTGGAACATTCAGGTAACTTCTACTGCTTCTTTTGGGTGCATGAGTTTGTGCAAGGTAATGAGAACATCTGCATGGACTGAGCTAAGGTTCTTGCTGCACCAGCAAAATGGCTTGTTCTTTATGGTACTTCTCAACTAGCACACCGGTACTCCTGCCCTGAGCTGGAATCTGAAATTTCTGACAGTGGGCTATACCGGTTCTTCTCCGCATGGGGTGTGCAAGCTCCGCCTTCTAGGAAATGTACCATGCTCCAGATGAGTGGGTTACATATCATGTAATATAATATAATGGTAAAAGCAAAAAAAAAAGAAATGCTTAATAAACTTTTTGTTATCTGATGTGACTTTTTAACCTTTCACTGTTTCTTGGATTACTGTGTGTGTGTCATGGTACATTTGTAGAAGTCTTGAATGAAAAAAAAATGTTAATAGCAAGCTGCTTCGTGGTGATTTTTATCTGCTTGAGACTTCAATACATGTCAAATAATGTTTCATATCTCTAGCCCCTGGTTTTCAGCAATACAATTTAAATCTTTGTTACTCATAATGTGATGCTTAAGGAGAAAACATGACTTACCGAATTCACACACACAGTTTTACTCTATCAGAGTATGATGAAACACCCAGTAGGACCATATATTTGCAATGGGGCCAATTACAATCTGTAAAAATACATGCTTTTGGAAAACTGTCCAGGAACCAGAAGTGATGCATCTTCAACATTTCTCTGAGGACCTGTGATTTGCTACAAACATCAAACACAAATTCTTCATCATTGATATTTCATTTAATAAGAAAATCCTCGACAGAAAACCAGTGGCTAGTGAATCTATGAAACTGAAGTGAGCCCAAAATCAACCAGCTTGCTAAAAGCCTCATAGACAAGACTTTTGTGGGATTCATCCAGGCCTTTTCTAATCCATGCTAGGACATGCCTTAATCATTCTTGTCATCCCATGTGCTCATCATCCAACAAATCATCTCCTCTTCCCTACGTTTCCTTTAGTATGGGATGAGACCACCAAGGCCTGCATTCACCCTTTTGGCTTGGTGTTTCCCCTGACACAGAGCAGTAGAGCAGCAGTAGACACCATGATGATGACCCAGACTTTCAATCTTATTGATGCATTTTACAGGTCATTTCATATTCTGGGCCCAGTTTACTCAAAACATAAAAGTAACCGCTCCGATTTGGGAGAGCTGGCTACTGAGATCAGTGTTTGGGGGATAGTGTTTTCTTGCTTCTCTCACCAAGTATAGAAGAGATATAACTACATTGAAGCCATCTTTTTTCCTTTATACTCTGAAATATGTAATTTGGTTAATCTAGGGTAAAACATCTTCCACAGCATATTAGGAGGGAGACGACAAGACAGTCACTGATTATATTCATAGAAGCACAAAGATTTACATTGATAATAAGGACAGAATGAGTTTCAAGTTTCAGACCATTACTGGAGTCAATTTTAGAGTTTCTGACCCTGTGGAAAAATAGCATGTGCTTAACTAGTACTGAAAACTCTAGAAATTTATTTAGTGGTCCTTAATTACTATGAATTTCTCTGACACTATTGCTTTTGAAATGTTTCAGGCAAAGAGAATTTTGATTTTATAAAAGATAATGCTTCTGTTGACTTCCACTCATATCTCAACTAACAACCATAAGAAGAAAATGTATTCTATACAGTCTTTCATGCTTACTTTGATTGACATTTACTCCCAAAAGCATTTAAATTTTGTCAAATGTTTTTGTGACTGTGTCAACCTTATGAAAGCAGAGGATTGTGAATCTCCTTGTACTCTTAAGCTCAGATGCAGCTGTATCTGCTAGTTTTTCCTACTCTATGCTATTTGTAAAATGTATCTTAGATATCATATCTGTTTTTCATGAATATTCCAACACATTTCATTCAGTTTTTATCTAATTTCTGATTTTGGAGCTGTTTGATACATACATTTTTTTAAGTTCAACTATTTTATTTATTATTTCTGAAAAATGACATTTTGGGGAACATTTTCAAATATCATGCCACGACAGAAATTACTTGAAGGCAAGCTGAGGTTCAGTGAATATTAGAAGTGCATTTGAAGGTGGGAACTGCCTACTCTGTAACCTGTCAGAGACATAAGAACTTTCTTCTCTTTCTGTTCTTCTTGGGTACTGTGGCCTTGGCCCTGTCACTGCAGATTAAGAATCTCTTGTATCATTTCTTGCAGACAGCACTTCCATGGACAAGTCCCTATCAAAACTGACCCATGCTGGTGGAGAACAGACATCAATCATCCCCGTCCATCAGGTTATTGATAAGGTCAAGGGTTACTGTAACGCTCGTTCTGATAACTTCTATAAAAATATCATCCTGTCAGATGCCTTCAGCCACAGCACAAAGTTTTAATGTCATTGAGAGGGGCAACAGAGAGAAAAGAAAACCTGTCTGGAGAAGTGTGATACTCAACAAGCAGCGAAAGCGCCCGGGGGATGTCAGTGTGCTGCTCCTTAGGAAACTGCAGAGCTTTGAGGACTGGCTGCATCTTGTTAAGGGAAGCATCTGTGAGATGCAGAACTCATCTGTTTTGGAATACTTCTGTGGACAAGCTCAGTCATCACACTTCAGAACTGAGAATACTCTGAGCCCTGCAAGGATACAGCATTTTCTAGAATGTAATTATATCAGACTCATCAGAATGAGGGGAGAGGCATTAAAATTAGAGGCCATGAGAGGAAGAACCCCAAGAAGAAGTTCGAGTTTAGATCTAATATATCACACCTCATAGGTAGGCTCAGATGTGGCCTGACTCTCATAAAGACGATGTAGAAAACACACTAATTACTGTTTGTAGTGACTTTGGATGCTCACGGGTTCTGTTCCAATGCTGTTTTCTATGAATATAGCAGCATCTTTTCCCTTTTTCAGTGAAATTTCAACCATAAGTAGAAAAGAATGTTTACTATTTGACCCACATATTAAACATACTTTTTTCTCTGTTTTGGCAACTATTCAATGTTCATGAACATAACTTGCTAAACAAGTATTTCAAGAATTTGATCTAGTCAATATGTTGTGTGAATTTCTAATATCTTAAGACATGCAGCTTAAGCATCACATTATCCCATGCACAAAAATAAATCCAGTTGAATGTAAATATGGCATTCAAGTGGGCCTCGTGAAATTTAAGAACAAGCACCTCTCCTGTCCCCCTTCACTGTGCAAATAGGGCCACAGGCTCGTTCGAGGGATGAGAATTCCCCTTAAGCACTCTGCATGCAATGGGTTCTCACTGTTTAAAGAACATGCTTTTGAGACTATGTGGTCCTGTCCTTGTTTTAATCATTTTAAGACATTCCAAATCACATAAACTTCAGAGGCCTCTGGCTCCCCCTAGTGACAATTTTGTTCCAAGGAACACACAATGAAGCATACAGCTGTCTTGGTTAATGAAAATAATCTATAAATATGTAGGTCTACAACTGCTAGTCTAAAAACTGTTTGCACTGAGCCCTCCAGTCAGAGTGTATGAGACTCTAAGGAGGGCTGGTGAGACTTATTACTCTAGTGTAATACGTATGGATCAGACTGTGGCATGCAAGTCATGCATAACACAAAGCAGCTTACCTATCTCCTAAACTATCCTAAGCAATGTGTGCTTGCTTGTTAACGAGGGTTGACCCCAAGTGATGGAATCCTATTCACTGGCCGCAGTAAATGCTGGCTTTAGCTTTGCTCAAGGTTCTCTGAAAAGTTTCAGAGTTTTCCAAGATAGCACAGTGACGTCAAAGGGAGAGTTTAGCAGAGCCAGCCTGTTAGAAGGCAGAAGCCTGGACAGAACATCTGTGCAGAAAGTAGGCCATTCTCAGCTATGACATAGAAGGATTTACAGGCTTTGAAACAGCCAACAGGTCCTCTTAGCTTTCTGAGTGTCAGTCACAAAGCTATTTGCCAGGCTGCAAAAGATGTCAATAGAACATGGCAGTGGGTTGTTACTGCCGTTCATTCTTGTAGCAACCTGGACTGCCATCTTGGCAGACCTGAACTTTGCTAGGCCTGGTTTTCACAAAGGAGGAGGCCATGTAAGAGAATGGGATAGTGATTTAGTCTTAAGGTGACTAAGATTCACCTCAGTAGAGCCAATCCTTTGGAAAGGGGTGGGAGATTATATTAGCAGGCTGCTCATTGTACCAGAGGATACATATAGGTAGAATTTAATGTCAATAGACACTGAACATTGATATAGCCACCCCCAAACTTCGGTGTTCATAGTAGATTTTAATTAGCTGTGAGATTTCTGCACAAAGTGAATATTTAGCTAATGGAAATGACGATTTCACTTCAAAAGTGGCTTTGCTCCAGATTTCTTCTTACCAGCATTCAGATCTGAGAAAATTTGTTTTTCATTTGTGGCAATAATGTCAGCTCCATTTTTAAAATCTCCAATAACCAGGTAAGAAAAGAAAAAAAAAGTGAAGAAACAACAGACTAGTTGATTTTGCAAGTGGATTTTAGGACCGGTCCAAATTTTGCCTTCAGTTCCATGTCTGTGCCTTTCATTTGTCCCCTTGGACAAATGGGGCAGGATTCCTTGGGAGAGCCAGAGTTCTGGCTCCACACAACTGTAAAACAGCACCAATCCAGATTCTGGTCACTTGCTTCCCACCCTCTCTTTTCCCTGTGTTGTGTTTGAGTTTTAGCCTAGGGTCCTGAGATAACCTCCATTCTTGTCACTGTTTCTCACTGTGTAGAATGCCTTTGTAGAATGTCTCCTCTGTACATATTTATTTATTTGTGTTCATGTCAAATGGTTTCGTACCTTAGCTTTCTTTCACCCAGCTTTATTATTTTAATTAACTGCCCATTAGAGAGTCTGTATTTTTTTCTAGGAAAAAAAAACTGTGAAACAGTTTTCTGTAGCGATATCATTGAATATGACAGACAGAGCAACTGTGAGGGCGAACTAGAATCAGTAGTGAGAAACTGCTAAAGCTAATTTGCCATTTTACTGAAATGGAAAATGATTTTTTTCAAATAAATACTTATATTGTTCATGTTCCAAATTATTCGGTTCCTTTATGAGGAAGCATTTCTATTTCTGACTCTTAAATAGGGAAAAACATTATCTGACAACTGGAAAATAACCCTGCCACCAATAAATCCAATGACATGCGGCAACTTTGCCAAAACACTAGGAATGAATATATGACGAAGGTCCAGGGCCCAGGATTAATGCATTCTGACGTTAGAGTTTCTTAGGATAACTGATGCAGAGCCAGGCTGTGGGGCAGCTTAAACATAACTTAGGCTTTTTTTTTTTTTTTTGCTTTGAAGCAAAGTATAAATAATCAAAAAAAAATAAAATAAATAAAGAAAAAAAGAGAGAGAGAGGGAGAAAGAGAGAGAGAGAGAGAGAGAGAGAAGAAAGAAGGAAGGAAAGGGAAAGGAAAGAAAAAAGAAAAGAAAGAAAAAAAGAACATAGTAGTGTGCTGTAGAGTTAAGAGCTGTATTTTTCTCACATTTAAAGTTGCTATTTCCATGGTGGGAGACTTGGAAAATGATCAGTTTTAGTTAACTTCATTTGCATGATCAGAACAGAGGTACCCCACTTCCTTTTTTTCCTCTGGTAACTTAGAATCATTCCTTTCTGCAGAGCCAAGGCCAATTTGGCTCCTGATTATCCTCAGGAAAGTGTGCACCCAGCACTAAGTTGTCAGCTTCTTTGGCAGGTCACTGCAAGACCAGGCCGTCTGAGCCAAGGTTCACAAGTCCAGGCCAAGTCATGTTAAGAAAACAGGAGTTGCTCAAGGGCCATCTGCAGACCTGGGTGATCAGGTCGCGTCTGAAAGCATGTGTGAGCAGCAGAGGAGAACTCACAGGAAATTCATGTTTGATTTCCACACCCCTCCACATTTATAGCAGTTTTGAAGTCTGTATGAGTTGGGCTTTGTAAATGCAGAGCCTTGGCTGGGCTTTGGAGTCCTCAGTTAAATAACATGCCGCTCTTTCTATCTGAAGCTAAGCTCTCTCCTCCCACTCCTTCTCTCTCCTTTATTTCACCTCCTCTCTTCATTTCAAGGGAAGAGGATTTATGTTAAACTTTTCTTGCTCTGCCTCACTCAAGGGAAACTGAGAATAAAAGTGAAAGATTCAAGTATTTTCATTTATAGTCTACTTTCTTCCAAGACATAAAGGAAAAGGGAAGATTTCATAAAACTTCATACCTCATACAGTAAACACAAATAAAAATTGGGTAATTTGAACCTGATAGAAAAGAAACTCATAAAATATGTGACCAGCTTTGGATGTCAATGGATATAGATCATAGTGTAATTTTTATCATAACCCCATGAGGAAATGCTGGTATCTGTCTTCCATCTGTGGGAAGCTGGTCATTAAAAATAAGTGCCCTCAGAGAAAGGGAAGCCCCTCCTCTTGGGTATTACTCTACCCTGGGACATCCAGTCTCAGCAAGACTAAACACCCCCTCTCTCACTGGGGCCCAACAAGCAGTCCAGGTAGGAGAAGAGGATTCAGTGGGAGGCAACAGAATCAGAGACAGCCCCTTGTTAGGGAATCCACATGAAGACCAAGCAAGCTACACTTCTGCTACAAATTATGGGGGACCTAGGTCCAGCTCCTGCATGCTCTTTGGTTGGTGGTTCAGTCTGTGAGCTGCCATGGGGACAGGTTAATTGACTCTGTAGGTCTTCTTGTGGTATTCTTGACCCCTTGGTTCACCCAATTGTATCCCCAACTCTTTGACAAGACTCTCCATGCTCTGCCTGATGTTTGCTGTAGGTCTCTGCATCTGTTTCCATCCACTGTTGGATGAAGCCTCTCCGGAGGATGTTCATGCCTGCAAGCAAAGCAGAGTATCAGCAATAGTATCCTGGGAGGTTAGGAGTGGAACTGGGAGGAGAGGAAGGAGTCTAAAGTTGGGATGTAATATGAATAAAAATAAATAAATAATGGAAAGGTAAATAAATACCCTCCCTATGACCAAGCTGAGTACTTAGACTCATTCCCCCTTACCTCTGCATACTTAGCAGCTTTCTCCCATGGCCCTAGATATAAAAAGAAAAATAATCAAGAGTCATTGCGACTGCAGGGAAAGTTAAAGAGAAGCTTCTAGAACTTCAGACAAAACTATGAAGTATCAAATGTTGACTAAGAATTTGGCCTGATCAGTTCAGATTAAGGGTGAGGAAAGTTATTCCAGGCACAGAGGTCAGAAAGCCCAGAGCACTGGGTGGAATATGGTTGGGATTGGCTTGACTGCAGGGTATGGAAAGGGCACCAGGTAAGAGTGGGTATTTCAGACAAGGCAGACACTAGGCTATCATGAGAAGAGCTAGGTATGCTAATTAAAGAGGCATGAGCTTGACAGAGCCACAGAGTAGTCACAGAGGCTGTTGGACAAATGAGCCTGAGTCTAGTTGGGCTTTAGGGAGGTGAATGGAAGGATGGTAAGGAAGCCAGACTGAATCAGAGAAAACACAAAAGGCTGCAGAACTCCACAGAGAAGACAAGTTGAAGAGTAAAGTCCAGAAGTAATGGCTATCAGGAAATTGGTGACAAAGTCACAAGCCTTCAGGGTAGAGGCAAGGCTATATTTTGGTTGAAGTGAGCTCACCAAGACTAGAGTCATAGCCACTGCTCTGGTTGTGCCCAGATACTGTAGGACCAAAAGAACCAAGGAGGAAAGTCAGCATTTTGTGAGAACAGGGTTCTACAATGTGAAAATGGCAGAAAGGAGGAAGGATGGTTGTTTAAGGAAGTATAACCACAGAGAAGAGTTTCTCATGGAATCTGTCTCTCTGCTTCTTTGTGGATGGAATCCAGTATTTGAAGGAACTGAAAGGTCACCAGGTGAGCATGGGTGTTTGAGGCTCTGCAGATGACAGGTGATCAATAGGAAGACAACTATAGCGGTTGTTATGCTTTGAATGAGTCTCCCAGACTTGACCTCCAATGCTGCTGAGTTCAGAGTTAACATCCACTAAACAGGTTAGGAGGCTGCAAAGGTGGCTCAGCAATTAAAAAGGACCCAGTATGGTTCTCAGCACCCACATAGGGTGCCTCGCAACTACCCCACAGCCAGGGGAATCAGATCCTTCTGACCCCGTTAGACACCTGACCTCAGGTGCACTTCCCATACACAGACACATAATTAAAATGAAATTAATGTATTTTTCAAAATTAGGCTAGGAAGACTCACACATGTCACCACTGCAGTGGATTTGGCATCACAAGACCAGGCTTGCTATAGAAACATGTCCAGCCTCCTCCTCATTACACATATTCTTGCCTACCTTTCTGTCTTTTGCCATAATATGATTCAGCATGAAGGCCCTTGGAAGATGCCAGCACCTCAACAGGATTTCCCAGCTTCCAGAACTATGAGAGATATTTACTTTATAAAGGGTCTAGTCCCTTGTACTCTGTTTGAACAACATAAAACAAACAAAGAAAATACATTCTTTTAGTGCTTACTAGTACTATTGCCTATTTTTACCAGTGTTTAAGTAGACCTCCTGTTGCTGAAAAACATGATGAGCACGTCCATGTTTGGGCAGCAATGAACTGAGCTGCTGTAATTGTCTGTGTCCACACTTTCATATTGTTGAGTATAACACAAAGCCACGAGAGTAGGTCACATGACAAGAGCATGTTTGGCTTACTTAGATATTGCAACCTGCCTCTCAAAGTTGTGATTGGATAGAGAGGTTTAAGATTTTTTAAATTGTGTGTGTGTGTGTGTGTGTGTGTGTGTGTGTTATATTTATTACATAGCTGGCTGCATTTAAATTTCAATTAGATCTCAGCCTAATGTCAGCCTGGGTTCTCCTACTAGCTCTCTAGAAGTTTTGGTACCATAGAAAGCCACATTACACATTACAGCTTTCAGGGAATCTGGTAAGTCACAATATAGGCAACTAGAGAAGGATTTGGATACTGCTGCTGTAAGGTTCAGAAAGGCCTGCCAGAGATCCAGGAAGCAGGTGAATAGCTGATGCTGTATGTGATTGGGTCTCCAGGTCTCAGAGCATCTCCTTGTAAGTTGCTTGAAATACGAATTTACAGACTCCATGACCGTAGGGCCCCATTTTATGGATGTGGAAATAAGTGGAGCATGATGGGAAGGATGTTTAAGTAACCAGAAAATCAATACATTTAGTGGTTTAATATTTAAGAAAAAAAGGAGTTCTTATGAAAACAATGGTTGGCATCATGAGTAGCCCATCTCTACTTAGCACGTCCATCTGAAAATGAGTTATTCCTTCAAAAATTTGATTAACAATACCACATATGTCTATACATCATGCAGAGAATCTTTAAAATAGGTACTCAGAATATTTAATTATATTATTTTTCTTGAAGATAAAGTTTTTATAATATATTCTAATTACTATTTATCCTTGTCATCTCCTCCAAGATCCTCCGCACTCCTGACCCTTCTAACTACACTCCTCCTTTCTCTTTCTTTTTAGAAAACAGACAATAGAAAATACAAGCAAACAAAGATAAAAACTGAACAAACAAAAACAAACAGAAAGAGCACAAGAAATTCTCATGTGAGCACACACACATACACACATCTTCAAGTGGACACATACATACACCCACATGCACACACACAGACCCACACAGTCATGTACACACACATGCATGCAACACATAGATACACATTCATACATACACACACATACATATTCACATACATATACACATATAGATACAGACATATACATATACACATACACATATACATACACTACATACATTCACATACACAAACACACACACACACGTGCGGACACAAAACCTATAAAAACATAAAATGAGAATCCTTATTATAAACATAAAAGATCAGTAAGGCAAACAATATCCTTCCAAATCAACATGAGACCAAAAATATCTTCAAAAATAGCTTTAGGTAAACAGAATCATAAACTAACGTTGTCCTTTCTAGAAAAATTCCAAGAAAGTGTTACAAACATGTAAATTAGAATTTACTAGACATTCACCACAGTAACAGCAAAGTCATTATCAGTTCCAC